CGAAGCTTCACCGTCTCACCTAGCAGACACCTGACCTTGGCTTCCTGTTTGAACTCATCCCACTTGCACCTGCTCTAGGATCCTTGACTGATTCTCTTCTAGGCACAAACTTTAAGGGTGCAAGAGGATTCAGGATCACGTGGTTGGATGACCCAGTACTCGTGTCCCATGTGTGGTTGCTGCTCACTCAGTATTTGCTGAGTGATTGGAGGACTGATGAACAGCCGACGTGGGCTATGCACGAGGCTCATACTGGGAGGGAGTGAGGTCTGGGCAGTACATGCACCAGTGGGGTCCTGGAGGGTCCTGGAGGTCTGGGTTGGGGGAAGCACGCTGCTCCCCAGACCTCAGCAATAGTCGAAGACTGACGATGTGGCCCCATCGCCTCCTTTTCTTGGCAGATGAACACAGTGTGTTTGAAGGGGTCAGCCTTGGTTGGACGTGACCTTCCTTGTTGCTTCTCTCTGAGGGTCCCCTCTCCGTAAGCCTCTCAGTGACTTAGGGCTAATCTCTCTGTAGAGTGTGGAGTGGGCAGAAAACAGCGGGGAGCATATAGACAAGGAAGGGAGAGGCGGGGAGAGATGTAAGCAAGTCCAGACTCAAGTGTAGGCAGGTGAGGCTGCCCAGGGCTGCAGCTGGGGGATCATGCTGGCCGCTCTGCCTGCCCCGTCACCTTCTCTTTCCCCGTTCAGTCTTGGTGACAATCCCCCATGCTTGCTGGCCATCTGCATGTGACAAGGCTGCCTCCAATGGCAAAAACGGAACTCAGAGAGAAGGGACCTGTGGCAGGTGGGGTTGGGTGGGGAGTTCCGTATTTCTCATGTCTGGCTTGGGGATGCAGGCTGGCCAGGGAGCTGACCAATGTCTTAAGGTACAGGAACTGTTTCAGCTGGGAAACTCTAAGAGGCAACAGGATTTGGGGCAACTTGTGGTTTTAGCCTTTCTGCAGCTTTGGTAACCTGGGTGTCAAAATCCTTAAGCTGCAGTTTTCTAAAATACAGATTTGAGCAACTGCTGGGAGAAGGTAGGGCTCAGAGGCTGGCTTCTGAATTTGCCTGTGGACAGGGCCTGCCCCAGCAGCAGGTATTGTGTAAAGTTGCCTCACGGGCTGTGAAAGTGGAGGGCTGGCTTTCCCGCAAGCGCTTGGCCAACAGTGGGGATTACAGCATCCTCCAGGGTGTGTGTGTGCTTTGTGCCCCCGCTCGCTTGCTTTCTGCTGCCAGGTTCTGAGTTGAACGCCCGGCTGCTGGCTCACAGCCCTGAGCATCTGGGCGGTGGCAGCAGCCCACAGTCACCGTGTACCTGTGATTTCATGCCCACCTAGGCCCACCTAGGCCCACCTAGGCCCACTCAGGCCCATTCTGTCAGCAGAGAGCCTCACGCAAACCACAATCAAGGTTGCACCTGTTGCCCCGGAGGCCTCGCCCAGGTGGCGGAAGCACCTGCTGGTTTTCCTCTGCATCTCTCCCCTCTCCCACCTCAAATACTCTGCATTCCTGCTCCATCCCGCATCCACTCTCCTCCAGGGATGTCTCCGGCCAGCTAGACACTGTTCCCACCTCAGGGTCCCATGGAGCTTCCCACCTCCCCTGTGTTTCCTCTCCTATGTTAGTTTCCCCTGCAGGCCAGGGCAGAGCCATTTCATCAGGAAGCCTCTGGGAGTCTCTGTCCTCCCTTCCCTCCTGACAGCAACCCCCCACCCCAGCTATGGCCAACATGTACCGAAACTGCATCTAGTGTCTGCTGAGGACCGGCTGGACAGGTGGATGGATGAAACCACTTCTCTCCCAGACTTTGGGGCCGTCCTACACCCCCAGGCCTGGAGCACATTTCCACTGGATTTTTAAGGGTGCAGCCCATGCCACCTTTGCTTCTTTCTCATGTCTTCCTGAGAGGTGTCTGGAAGGTCAGGTGTCACTGCTGACTCTTATGCAGCAAGTTGGGGATGGGACAGTCATTTGGACCAGGTTGTGTCATTTTTAAAAAGGGCTTATTTATTTTTTTAATTTATCTATCATTTCAATTGCAGAGTTACAGAGAGAAAAGGACACACACACACACACACACACACACACACACACACACACACACACATCTTCCATTTGCTGCTTCACTCCCCAAATGTTTGCAGTGCTGGGCCTGTCCAAAATCAGGAGCCAGGAGGAGCTTCTTCTGGGTCTCCCATGTGGGTACAGGAACCCAAGGACTTGAGCCATCCTCTGCTGCTTTCCTAAACACATTAACAGGGGGCTGGATCAGCAGTAGTGCAGTTGGAACTCAGACCATACCCCTATGGGATGCCAGAACCATAGGTGGAGGATTAACATACTATGCCAGGGCACCCACTCCTTAGTTCTTTAGTTATTAAGGTGCTAGAGAAATTCCTGCCCCTCTGCCCCTAGACTTGTGTTTCCTGAAAAGACTCATTCCACCTCTGCTAACTTGGCGTGGGAATCCTCACCTTGACATTGTTCTTCTTGCTCATGCTCTCTATCTCAGGAAACAAGCCTGTCCCCTCTCCTTGACCAAGCCTGGGTTCTTAGGGATGAAAAGGATGAAGGTATTGTGACTCCCTCTGCTAAGCTATGTTCTAAGACCACCCCCTAGGGCTCTAGGGAAGCCTTCCAAGCCTTCACCTGGGGTTACCCGAAATGACTAAACCTTAAAGAGACAAGGCTAAAGCAAGAACTCTTGGCATTTAGGAATGTTGTCTTGTCTGCTGTCCAGCTGTGCCCTCTGAGCAGCTCTGCCCTCTGCCAGACTTCAGGTCCTTGGAAGCTGGCCCAGGCCCAGGTGTTCAAAGCTGCTGCCACCTGCTACTCACCCTACAAGCTCTGTCCCTCCCTGGAGGACCTCCCGTTTGCTTCAGCTTCCACCCTCAGCTCCTACAGCCCCAAGCACTGTCATCCTTAACACTCCTGGAGAATTTGCTCCAGCCTGGGATTTGGAGATGTGAGAAACCACCAGCCCTCGGCTTGTGAGCTCAGAGACATCTGGTGAGATGAGCTCAGAGGCATGTGTTAGACAGGGATCACAGTTTGGTGTTGGAAGGGCAAGAGGAGAAGTACCAGAGAGTTCTTTGGGCCCATAGGAGGGAGCTCTCAAACTCCTGAGGAGGGTGGATGGTTGGGAATTCTGCATGGAACCTGCGACACTGGTTCTGGGTCTTGCTGGGTCCCCAGGGGCTCACTGGGGACATTGGCAGGTGAGGTGTGAGGCATGAAGCTGGGGAAGCCTGGCTGCGATTCTGGCACAGCATGTCAAGGAAGGGGTGGTGGCCACGCTCATGGAAAGTTAAGGGATCCCATTGACTTTCTGCTCCGAGGGGTGGGGGGGAAGCTGTGGACCAATGCCTGCAGGTGTGTGGAGATAGGCTTCTGCTTGGGGGTCTTGGGAAGAGCTTCTGAGGTAGGGGTCTTTGCCAGGAGGAAAGGACCCTCTTCTCCTGGCTGACCCACCTGTTTGGCGTGGAGGCTGGGGAGAACCATCCCAGATGGTGCTGGGGCTGTTGGAATTGGTAAATTTTCAAAACAAGTGTCTGTCTTTTGTTGGCAATGGTGTGTGTGTGTGTGTGACAGATAAAGGCAGAACTGGGTCTGTTGGACAGAGTAGACAAGGGATTCCCACCTTGACAGCCAGCAATGCTGATCCGAAGCTTCTCTGTGGATACCAGCTTTCCACTCTTTCTTCTTCCTTCCCCAGCGTCCCCTCATCTTCCTCCCGAAAGCACACAGAGCCCATGAGAAACTTCAGAACAGTTGCCATCAGTGTTGGATGAACACTCCCCGCGTCTCTACCTACTCCAGGTCCCAATCAATTCACAGGGTGGCCACTGCCCCTCCCAGAGGGCCCAGTGTAGCTGAGGAACCGACACTGGTTAGGTAGTGGTGGACATGGAGCTGGGGAACAAGGATCACCACTTCCCCGATCCCTTCACCACGAAGTGATTCCTCTTGCAAAGCCAAGAACACAATCAGGGCCTTCCGCCTGTTCTGCAGGGAGCTGCCCTTTGCGGGGGATGCAGAGGGCGACTCCTTGCCAGGTGGAGTTGCTAGGTGGGGTGGAAGGGCTGTCAGAGAAGATGAGGTGTCTGTGGCTGTGGGGTTCCCAGGAAGGCATGGCCAGGCAGAGGGAGTCCAGCCAGTGGAGCCGAGGGAGTCTGAGTGTCTTTTCTCTCGGTGCTGATGTACCGTCCCAGCCTCCAAGCCTCCACCATGCTGCACCTTTGGAGCATCAGGCTCTTCTCCAGTCCCTGCCTTTCTTTCCTCACTTATCATGGCACATCAGACACTCAGTTTGGCCTTGTTCTGCTGCCCTCAACCCTGATTCCAGAGTCTACCTTCCATTGGAAAAGGAGAGATTGTGTTTTGGGAAGGCCCACTCCTGCTGGGCATAACTTGGAAAGGCACTTGAGGGTAGGGAGAGGGAAGAGGAGGTGCAGGGAGGTCCCCAGGGATGGGGGACAGCGGGCACTAGGGTCTGCAGATCTGAGCTGCAGTGCTGCCCCTGCTGGCCTGAGCTCATATTTGCACCTAAGGTTTGGATGCCAGGTCTGCCAGGAGGGACTGGCTTAGGGATTGTGGGGAGTCACAGCTGATGCATCCTGGTCCCACTGCCCACTGCCCTCCCAGCATATCACCATCTCAAAGAGGGGAGTCGAGATCAGAAAGAGGAGAAGCTGTGTGGACAGAGATGAGTGAAAGAGGGCTTGGGTCAGGCAGGTGGGTAGCTGGTGTGTTGGGGGGAAGGGATGACCCACTTTAGCTTTCTGGGTGACAAGGGCCACTTGGACTGAGTGGAGTCCAAGAAAGGTGCTGAGTTAGGGCAGGATGGGACCACGCAGCTGGGGCTGATGTCAGAGGCGAGGACAGGGGCAGAGAGGTGAGCACCGGGGGCTCAGAGCAGATTCACTGCTGCTACCTCGCATTCCACCATGATGGGCTGCAGGGGACGAACCCAGGGCCCAATGGAGGAGATAGAAGAAGCACACGGAGCAGTGGTGACGTCAGAGACTTTATTCTAACCCCTCTGCTGCAGCCCCACAGCCAGGCAGAGGGGTGTGGCATTCCCAGCGACCCGGGTCAGAAAAGAACAGAATGAGCAGGCCGCCTGCTTAGTGGCTATGGCCATGGCCGTGACCGTGGCTGTGGCTATGCCCATGGCCATGGCCACCCCCACCAAGGCCCGGCCCATGGCTGTGGCCCTCGTGGCCAGGGGGAGCATTCTTGTGCATCTCCTCATGCGAGGCATGGACCAGCCTTGCCATCAGGATGACGAACTCTTCGAAGTTCAGCTCCTTGTCCTGGTTGGTGTCCAGATCCTCCATTATTTCGTTGATGGCTTTCTCATCCCTTGCCTCCCTCTGTTGGATCGGAGTGAGGGGGAAAAAGCTCTTAGAGTGTGGCCGGGGTTGAGGAGTGATGAGCAGGGAGTGCGTAGGTGGGAAGTGCACAGGGCTTTGTGTCAGAGCAGATGCCCGTTCCCAGACAGCTTTGAGGAACCACAGTTCTCTCTGCCTCACAGGAGACCGAGGTTCAGGTGCTGGAAATTAGGGAGCCTGGAAGTAGCCCTTAGAACCTTGCTGTGGGGGAAGACGTGGTATCTTCCAGGGGGAGGCCAAGACTGGAAAAGTGCACACAGATGAGGCCCAGAGGGGAAATGCAGGCCCAGGTCTAACTCAGAACCTGGTGCCTCTGGAGGGAGCTAACTTGTGAGTGGTGGGAGGAACCTCAGGCAGAGGCGGAGAGCAGGGTGCTTGCTCTGCTGTCTCCAAGTGGAGATGGCAGGTGAGGTGTGAGACCCATGAGGGGTGGAAGAAGGAGAGCCTGAGCCGGCTCTGGCTTGGCTGGCAGCCTGCTGGCTGTGCACCTTGGCCAGACCTACGGATTCCATGATATGGGCCCAGTTTCCCTTCCAGGCCTAATCCTGTGTTTAGGGTAGGGAGTATCTGGATGGGTGTCTCACTGAAGGAAGCCTGGCCCTGTAAACCCCTCAGCTATATTCTCTCTTGCCTGCTTGGGGTCTGCTCGCTGGAGACCCAAGTGGGGGTTGTCTGAGTTCCTGGTGCTCCAGCCGCCGTTCTCCACTTCCCAAGGTGTGGGAAGGGTCCTAACAAGAGCTGGCACCTTCCTTCCTGGGACTGTTTGCTCTGAACATGGGACTAAGAACTACATATTATCGCACTTGACTGAGGTAAGAGCTCTGTTTCCTTGGGTTCGAACCAAACACAAAGGCTGCGGATTCTCCTGGGAATGCCCTATCATTTTCAGATCAAGGGGAAGAGCTGCCATCTTGGGGAGTGCACGATCTTGGTGCCTTCCCCCAGCTGTTTTTCTTGTTCTACCATAGGTCCTTGGGATCAGCTGTCTTGCCCCCTTCCCCAGCTGAGGCTTGGGGTCCCCACAACTTCCTGCCAAGCATCAGCCTCAAGGCTTGGCAGCCTTTGGGTCTGAGCTCCAAGGTCCCCTCAAAGTGGCCCTTCTTGCCTTTTTGCTTGCCTTTCCCTGCTTCCCAAGCCCCGATAACCCACAGTGCTCCCTGGTGCTGGCATTGACTATGTGTTGTTTGTTGGCATCTGTGCTGTTTGTCCCATGTCTCCTTCCTGTTTACCAGAGCACGCACCTCTGCCCAGAGCTGGGCGTGCATACAGCTGATGCCTGGTGCAAGGTGCACTGGGGTTTCCTGGCTCTTTGGGGTGCTGTGGTCGCTGGAGCACCTCTAGCCACAGCCTCCACGGCCTTTTGCAGCAGCTGCTGAGTTGGCATCGCACATGCCCTCCCTCCCTCCCAGGCCTGAGCTGCCCGAGGCTGGCCCTACCTTGAGGAAGTTCGACAGCTCCTTCTGCACCAGCTGTTTGAGTTCCCTCTGGTTCAGGGAGTCTCGGTGGCCTACCCGTACAGAGTACTGGTGGAAGACATTGATGATGGTATCGATGCTACGTTCCAGCTGCGACATCTCCGTCTCGCAGGACATAACCTGCACTCCGCCTGGGGGATGGAGAAGCCGGGGGTGTGGTGCTCAGAGGAGAAGGCTGCAGGGCTTCCTGGATGCTTCTCCTGACCCCAGAGGATGGGGGGGGAGAGGGGAGAGCACCTGATGAGAGGAAGGCACGGGATCCATGGGGGTCGGGGGACTGGCCTCTCCCATAGCCAGCAGAAATGACTGCAGGCACAGCTGGAGAACGCTGCAAAGTGGTGCACTTGAGGGCAGAAAACCTCGGGAGAGTGTGACCCCCCAAAACTGTGCAGGAAGCTTTGAAATGGGCAAGGTCAACCAAGGAAGGCTTCCAAGAGGCAGCTTTGGAAGAAAGCAGGGCTGGGCAAGTGGGGGACAGAAGGAAAAGGAGGTGGCAGGCAGGGTCCTGCTGGAGAAGTGGGTAGCTTCACTTACCCAAGCTGAGGAACCCACAGAGATCTGGCAGGGCAGTGTGGATCCCACCTTTATACCCAGCTCCCGGCCGGGCCACTGCCTGCTCCCCAGGGCAGGATTGCTTCAGAGCTGAGCAGTGTGGAAACGCTGCCAGGAAGGCAGTCGGGGCGCGCCAGGAAATGTTCACACAGCTGACTGGGCCTGGGTCTCGTTGGGGTGGGGTGGGGGGCCTGGGTTAGCTCACTTCCCCCTCCTGCTGCCCCTGTCCCCATCGGGTGGGGGGGGAGCGCTGGGTACCGAAACCTCCCCCTAGGGACAGTCAGAGGCGCCTGCACCACCCTCACCCCAGCAGCCATCCTACCCATCCAGTGAACCGGGGGTGGAGGGGGGAGACACGGGACTGGCCCTGGCTCTGTGCTGCTGGGAGGAGGTGAGATTGGTCTTCATAGAATAGCCCTAACCCTTGCATCTAGATGAAGATACCAAAAGGGCCCCTTTCCCACTGTCCCGAGTCAGGTGTCAGGGTCGTAGAGAAGTGCGAGTGTGACTCCACCTTCCTCCTGCAGCAGAGGCCCCTGCAGCTGGAAGGTGTTTCTCTCATCTTCTGGTCTTGCTCTGGGAAGAGGGCACCGAGGTGGGCGAAGGTCGACGGGGGTGAGCCCAGCACACCAGGCCTCTGGGAACAGCCCTGCTTGCCTAGCCCGCTCCCCTTTCACTTCTCTGCCACTGTGGGAGCATGGGGCTCACCTGGCTACCCCAGCAGTGTCCTTTCCTCCCCATGCCACAGCGTGAAATCCCCCTTCCCCTCCCAGGGCTCAGATCAATGCCACTTCCTCCAGGAAGCCTATAGGGATTTTTTCCCCTATGGAAACTGGCCCCTTTCCCTGATGGTGACTCCTGAGCCATGGATGACTCTCCATGCCTGCTTTCCTGGCACTACCTGATTTGCATATCTTGCGTCCGTCTAGGAACCAACTGTAGCTTCTGACTTGTACTCATATCTTCCCACGCAGGTGGCCAAGGTGTGGTACCTGAGACACCTTTGCCTTCACTGGGCAATGGCGTGTCCTCATTGGCCTCCCCTTGCTCCAGGAAGCATGCCTGGGAGAACCTGTTAGAGCTTTTTCCCCTTCGCTTTCTTGCTTACCCCTCAGCCTTAAGATGTCACCCCCCATCCCCACCCCAGCCCTGCCACCCTCTTCCACCTATTTTTAAAATTAATTAATTTGAAGGTAAGAGTTAGAGATAAAAAGGGAAAGACACAGAGGCAGAGAGAGAGAGAGAGAGAGAGAGAGAGAGAGAGAGAGAGAGACAGAATCTTCTGTCCATTTGTTCACTCCCTAAATGACTGTAGTAGCCAGGATAGGGCCAGACTAAAGCCAGGAGCCAAGGGAGCTTTCCTTGGGGTTTCCTATATGGGTGCAGGGGCCGTGTATTTGGGCTGTCCTCTGTTGCTTTCCCAAGTGCATTAGCAGGGAGCTGGATTGGAAGTGGAGTAACCAGGACTCAAGCTAGAGCCCACAGGGGACACCGACATCGTAACGGTGGCTTTATCTGCTAAGCCACAGCGCTGGCATCACCAATAGCCCTTTGTGACGTGTGCGTGAAGCTTTCCTTTAGTGCCTGAGACCACTCCTCCCCCAGCTGCTCTGCCGTCTGCAGCCCGTGTGGCCCCGCACACACCCAGCCCCTAGCTGCTCTGCCATCTGCAGCCCCTGTATGGCCCCATAGACACCCAGCCATGCACCGCTGAGATGGCACCCAGAGCAGTGCTTTAGGGTGGGCTGTGTGACTTTAGGTGACTCACGGAGCTTCCCTGTACTATCAGTAAGACAGGATGATAATCCCGCCTGGACATTCTGACAGTGTGTGCAAAGTTGGGGAGGGCTCAGCAAATCAGAGGCATTCTTACTACTAATTACCCTTCTGCTTGCTCACACATTGGTTGGGCACCCACTGCGTGCTGGGTACTAAGGCTAGGTGTTGGGGAACTTGGTGAGTTACAACACATGGGAGAGAAAGAATGTGAAATCCTGCCTTCCTCATCCCATTTTAAATTCTTGGTAGCTGGGTCCGGCACAGTGGCCTAGCGGTTAAAGTCCTCACCTTGAATGCACCGGGATCCCATATGGGCGCTTATTCTAATCCCGGCAGCCCCGCTTCCATCCAGCTCCCTGCTTGTGGCCTGGGAAAGAAACAGAGGATGGGCCTGGCGTAGTGGCTTAGTGGCTAAAGTCTTTGTCTTGCATGTGCCAGGATCCCAAATAGAGTTAGGTTCTAATCCCGGATGCCCTGCTTCTCATCTGGCTCCCTGCTTGTGGCCTGGGAAAGCAGTAAAGCAGTTGAGGATGGCCCAAAGCCTTGGGACCCTGCACCTGCATGGAAGACCCAGAAGAGCGCTCCTGGCTCCTGGCTTTGGACCGGCTCAGCATCGGCCGTTGCGGTCACTTGGGGAGTGAATCTTTGGAAGGAAGATCTTCCTCTCTATCTCTTTTCTTCTTTCTATGTATTTAACTTTGCAATAAAAATAAATCTTAAAAAAAAAAATTCTTGGTAGCAAGGACAGGGCCTGGTGAGATGCTAGGCACACAAGTGTCTAAGAAACACTCAGTGAATGAATGCTTGACGGAGTCAACCACCTAGGAATGAGTGCGTGAAGGGGGCCCACAGCCCAGGAGTGGATGAACAGAAACCCCAGGTCCCTCGCTCCGTAGGTTCATGGAGGAAGCAGGGATGACAGCCAGTGTGGCCCCATTGCCCTCTGCAGGCCACCAATGACTCTCCAGGTCTAGTCAACCCAGACAGGTGCCTTGGGCTGCTCTCCTGTGTCCCCATGGGGACTGCTGGGCCCAAGCAGGTCGACACAGTGGAGCGCCACCCTCTGATCTCAAAGTCCTTTGCTGATGGTGGTAGAGAGTGGGCTCATGCCCAAACATCTCTCGGCCTTGAAGTTCAGAGCAGTAGGGTGGATAAAGACTAAAAGCATGGCTTGGGAGGGACGTGGGGGAGGGACGTGGGGGAGGGACCGAGCGAATGCAGAAATCCCTTAGGGATGAAACAGTACTCACTTTGCAAGCTTTTGGGGCTGTGCCAGTGAAACTCACTTTTCTTCTGCTCATACTTGAACAGCCCAGCCAGGGGTTCCAGTGTTTCTGCCAAGTGGGGTGACGTTTCCTTGGCCGTGCTACAGTCTCATGGGTGGGGGGCGGTGGGTCCCTCATCTAAGATGGAACCCAGCTCAACAGGGAAACCTTCATGTCAGGCCTGCTATTTCTTTTTCTTTCTTTCTTTCTTTTTTTTTTTTAAAGGATTTATTTTTATTATTTTTTTATTGGAAAGGCGGATATACAGAGAGGAGAGACAGAGAGGAAGATCTTCCGTCCGATGATTCACTCCCCAAGTGAGCGCAATGGCCGATGCTATGCCGATCTGAAGCCAGGAGCCTCTTCCGGGTCTCCCACGTGGGTGCAGGGTCCCAAAGCTTTGGGCTGTCCTCGACTGCTTTCCCAGGCCACAGGCAGGGAGCTGGATGGGAAGCGGGGCTGCCGGGATAGAACCAGCACCCATATGGGATCCCGGGCATGCAAGGCGAGGACCTTAACCACTGAGCCACTGCTCCGGGCCCCATCTTTTTTTTTTTTTTTAAGATAGCCAGTTTTTATTGGAGAATAGTTCTCGCCTGTGAAATATGTTTTTGGCCGAACGTATTCCACGACTAAGAGCAGAAGCTTAGAAGCGTAAGAACTGTCTTCTTTAAGAAGAGTACGAGTGGCTCCTCCCTTTGCATGGGAGAACTACGCCCCATGCCTGTTGCCGGAGGTGACAACAGCAATTCAGTGACAAGGCCTCAGAGGTATGCAGCATACTGAGGGACAAACAATGGGTAAAAACACCCTCTGAACTCGGAAATGACTTGCCAGGGTTTCTGTGTTTGTCTGAAGTGAACTTCGGAAGGAGTGTTTCCAAGGGGAGAGGAATTGGGGTGAAGGAGTCTGCCTGTGGAGTGTTATACTTGCTGTGTGCAGAAATGAGATGCCAAGCCAATTCATGTAGTCAACCCAAGTTTTTAATGTTTTCAGCCTTTGTCTCGACAACCCATCATACCTCTTTTACGACAGTGTGTGATTGTGCCTGATACCTCATACTTCACGCCGATGGTTTGCTCGGGTGGTTGAACAGTACTGGCCCTGCTCTAAGTTGTATTCCTGACAGACACCTCCTTGGTCACAGTATAGCTCTTTGGCACTATAGAAAGGGAATTCACAGAACAGAACTTTAGTGTTTGTGTGCTTGTGCAGGGAGAACTCCAGCAACTGGGAGTTCAGTGTCCTTCATTTCCTTGTTGGAAGCAGTGTTGTATTTTCGTTATGATGGTTCCTAGAGTCACATCGAAGTGACTGTCACTTAAGGGAGAGATGCCCCCTAGATATCTAGGTCCTAGGAAGTTATTTAAAGTTTTGTTTGAAACTGTGGATTCTGCTTTATGGTTGCTGAAAAACTATAAGCAGCTGGCCAGCTTCGGTCATGTCAGTGTTAGAGAGAGATGGCTGGTGGAAGTCGCAGGGCTCAAGCCTACGTTGACGTCAGTGAATCCATTTGAGGTTAGCATTACCTGTTAACATTTATGCCTCAAAGCATGCCTCATTTTATAGAATTTTAAGAAATTTCCTGTGTAAGTTACTTGAAATAGACCTAATTGTATATTAATAACTCATACTTGCCTTGTTTTAACAAGCCCTTAGGGAGAGTAAGGAGAAATTAATGCCAGTATAAGGAGCCTACAAACTAATCTTTGTTTTGTGCATTATATTGCACACTTAGTCGTGATGGATATTTCTACAGCCACTAAGGAAAGACAGACGATGCAGAATTATTTGTGTGGTATTGTGTATTTGTTCTTTTTGCTGTTTTTAAGTTTTGTGGGGGAGGTAAGTGGATTTACCAGGACTACAGCGCATTTCAGTCTCTCAGTAGAAGGTAGACTAGCCTCGTCTGTGGTTAGCTTGGAGGTTTCAAAGGTTACCAGCAGTTAAAACGCATGCAAGCATCAAGTCTTGTTACAATGCTCACAGAGCATGGTGGTCATGGAGTATGCTGCCTCGCGGGCTT